TATATATATATGTATATGTATATATATATATATATATATATACTACATATATAACCATTTAGGTCATTATCTTGATTACAAACCATAAAACACAAAGTACTACCATTTTATACATGGATTTCAAAAAACTCTTAAAGACAAGTCATAAAGCACAATGTACAACTATTTGATTCAAATTTCAAAAATTCAAATTTCAAAAATTTCATATTGTACCAAAAATTCAAATTTCAAAAATTTGCTATAAGAATTCTTATTGACTTTCAGTTTCCAAAGCTTTATGAAAAGAAACATGGGTAAATCATTTTCTAGCAATAATGTACCAAACGCATAATTGTTTAGCTGTTTGGTTCGACTTGATTTGGATTTCAATATGACGACTTCAAAAATGGCATCAATTCAAAATCCATTATCATTATGTTCACGGGTAAGTCTTCTCTGAATGTTTGTTTTCATATACGAACTTCTTGTAGTTTTTCATGTTTAAATAACTGGTCATGTAATGTCGTTTTGGAATATTTTGATTCTCCATGAAGATCATCGTTGAACCAGTCGATCTTTATATCTATGATCATTGTGTGCTCCACGAACTGCGGTAAATCATAGTTGCCCATATTTTATGTTGGGTTCTTTTGTTAAGTGTTGGTTTTATGCTGGATTTATCTGGACTTGGTTGATTTGTGAAGCTGTTTCTCAATGCTACACATGTGATTCCCGAAATCTAATCAACCACAAGCAGCAAGGAAATCAGGTCCATTCTCTGGTTTGATTAAGTTGAAGGTGTATATTATATCCCATAAATATTGAACGCCTGCTTTATATGTTATTTGTAGTGCCCAATTTAAGAGTTTTGCTTACCTTTAAAACGAGGATCAGTTCTTGGCAGCCTTAGCGAAAGATATCACAATAGTAAAAACTCTTTCGAAAATCCTAAAGGATCAAGAAGAAAGAAAGAAATCCCTTCAGCAGCTACAAGTTTCCATCTAGGGTCATCTTTCTAACTTAATAGCATGTTGATTGATATGATATTTTTATATGGGTTTGAACTCTTGTTATTGTTTTTTGATGCTGATATTGTTTTAGTGAACCCGTAAATCCAGATCCAAAAAGGCTGCATATGAAGATCAAAGCAGTCCAGTTCTTAGAAAGAGCCGATTGTATTCATCTGGTACTGTTCATGATAGCAGGCTGTTCATCTGGTACTGTTCTTATACAGGAGAAAAAAAAAACACAGGGTAGTTGTCTTTGCAATGACAAAGCCACGAAAGTTTTCCTTAAGGTAAGATCAGACTTTCGTGGCTGCTGTCATCAGCTGCTGTCCAGCAGCTCTTTTCCACCTTCGATGTCGATTTCGTCTTAGAAGCAGTCCAAATTTGCAGAAACTCAAAACTTAAAAACTGTGGGGCTGTTTGTTAGCTTTCTAGATCATCTTGAATAACTTAAATCCGAGCTCGGACAAGTTAGATATGCTTGAAATACCATAGTCTCGTAAAGCTGTCAAAAATCTTCTTTTTGTCCCTTTTTCGCTCCAAAGTGTTCCGAACCTATCAACATATAAAAACGCATCAATGTTGTTCTGTTTTACCATTTTAGTGTGTTAAAAAGGGATGTTTGATGTGAAAATAAGGTAGCTTTTAGCGACGGATCACCTATTGTTTACATTTGTTTATGTTCGTTCATTTATGTCCGTTAAATTGAATGAATATCAGATGTTTTACACTTGCAAAATTGAGTTATCTAGATGTTTTACACTTGCAAAACTGAATGTTGTTCTTGGTTGTAGATTTGTGATCCAAGTTTGTATTATATCTGCCTTTCATTCCTTGCTCAAATATTTGGTTCTTTTGCAAAAAAGATGTTGCGAAAGGTGCTTCTTCAATTTTCTTGCACATCATGTGTACTTGTTTTTTTTATGAGTTTGAGACTGCCAGTATGAATGTTACTAATGATTTGTTATGTTGGCAAAGAAGTTGTTATGGCTTGTTTTGTATTTTATTCCTCTCCTTATTCTTTTTTTTATTTGGTGCAAGCAAGTTAACTTGTACTTTTCTGCGGTCTTTTTGCGCACATTCCCTGTGGGGAGCATCCACCCAACTTCTTACTTGCCGGGTAAAATTCTTGGTCCTACCATATTTATACGGTAAAGTAATGTGATTTGATAAGCGTTTACCCAGATAAGCGTTTGGTATACGGCCCCTTAGAATTTCATCCGTTTTGCGGCTTGAATTTTCAAGTTCTTGACATGTTTTTGGATTTTGTTGAAAATATAGATTTTATGTGTTCTTTATTGTTTTTTTTATCTTTTATGCATAGTTGGATATTTGACATTGAGAGACTGAAAGGTTTTTTTTTGCATTTTTATTCTAGAAACTGATTTACAAGAAGCAAGCTCAAGACTTCGATCAGCTACAAAGAATTTATGGTTCGTATATTCATTTGCTTTTAGGCAGTGTTAATACTTTAGTTTCAACATTGATCATAGGTTGTTCTTGAGAATCATGATGTAGAGAGAAGATTATTTGATTTCCGTGACTTTTAAGCAATGTTAATCCTTTACATCCCGCCGCATTGCGTCATTTTTTGCAGGAACTATTTACGGATGAGTGCATCAGGAAAACTAAACAACCGTTTGGATATACGGATGAACATTATTTACAAATGATTTTATTTCTTTGTTCAATTAAGAATTTCAAGTTTTGTAATGAGTTCTGAATATATGGGTTTAGAAACCTAATGCATGTACAATTAATTTTTCATTCAATTTTGCTAATACACCATCTTAACCTTCAACTTTATATATTAGTTGACTTGTAAAATAACTACACAAACTCATGATTCAAGCATAAACTAATGTTTCAGAATTGTGATTCACCCGCGCAACATCGCTAGTGTATATATATATATATATATATATATAAGGTATATTTCTTTTACAACCTTGTGTATTTGTACAACCCTTGCAACCCAATTAATTGAGATATTTATAGAAATGATCGGAGTTCATTTATTATGATTTGAATATTTATGGAATATGAATAGAGTTTATTAATTATGATTAATGCTTTATATTATGAAACAATTAATTGATTAAAAATTGAATGGTTGAGATGAAGGTTGTATAGGGTGTAGGAATGACAAAGAATGTAGAATAACATCCATATATATATATATATATATATATAAATAAAAGTAATACCAATTAAGTTCGTAGTTTAAATGTTGGTACTTGAGTCCACCCCCCTAATTTTCACAAAGCATGGCAAAAAATGTGAAAGTCATGATATTCTCACCTGCAAACAACGCTGCACATAACAAACAGCGTACCTCCGCCATCTTCACTTGCACACAGCTCAACTACTGCCACCCCCTTTCACTTTCATCACTTCTTTCTATCTCCAATGGCTTCCAAAGCTCTCCTTTCTCAGATCAATTCTCCCTCCCCTAACTCTAACCCAAGCCCTGAAACCTTTTCTTTCAATCGCTGCTCACTTCCAACTGTCTCCAGACCCCCTCTCCTGTCAACCCAATTGAAGACCAACCAAAGCAGTTTCATTGCCAACTGTTCTTCAGCTTCGACTGATCGCCCAAAAGACGAAACCCCAATTGAACTCAGTACATTGTTTCCGTTTTCTATTTGCAAGTTCATACGTCATGCTTTTGATTTGATGAATTATTTCTCTAATCTTCTCCATTGCTTTTCAGGGTTCCCTGCCTTTCCAACTGTTGTTGATATCAATCAGATTCGAGACATTTTGCCACATCGGTTTGTCATTTTCTTTCTGTCAACATTTTGAAATTGTCTACTTCTTTAAGCATCATCTAATTGCTGATTTGGGTAAAAAAAAAAAATTGGTTGTGGGGTTTACTGTAGTTCCCTGTTTCCCTACCCAAAACTGAGTCTTTCTTTACTTTGTTTTGTTTGTGTTATCTTTTTGGCAGAATTCTCAATTCATTGTTTGGTTTCTCAGTAGGCTTTTGTAATTTTTTTCTGTAGGTTTCCATTTCTTTTGGTGGATAGGGTTATTGAGTATAATCCAGGAGTTTCAGCCGTTGGAATCAAGAATGTGACCATTAATGACAACTTCTTTCCTGGGCATTTTCCTGAGAGGCCAATTATGCCTGGTGTTCTCATGGTTGAGGTAAAGACTTCATTCCTGTTCATGCCATATGTATAAGTTTTTTGCTGGTCTTTTGCAAATGTGTATTCTGGTTATTTCTTGTTTATAGACTTGAAATCTTTTGCATCGTATATGTGTTTAGCTGACCTTATTAGCATCTGTATAATATTCATATACAAATGATTGGTCTGTAATTGTTAGTATATGTGGAACTTCTATGAGTTTTCTCTAAAAGAGTCCTTGTAGAAAGAGGGGAGGTTCCTACATTATACAAGTTTGATGGTCTGTATCTACCTGATTTGAGACTCCAACATGACCCCTCAAACAGAGGCAAAGGAGTGTGTCACTTCCTTGATGTGGTAGGCGCAGGCTATGATACCATGTTAGGATATGTGAAACGCTTTGAATTCTCTCTAAGAAATCCCTTATAGAGGGAGAGAGAGGAGGTTCCTGCAAATATATGGGTTTGATGGTACACGTCTGGATGATGTGGGACGGCAATAATGATGTGAAGTTCATTTCAGCAACATCATCAGATGTGCATGTTGTATTGTATACTTCTTCTTGGTGCAACTATTTCTAAATAGTATGTAATTCGGTATTATTAGGTGTATTATGTCAGCACTCAAATGCTGTCCTATAATTATGGGTCAATAAGACAAGTCAAGAGTGGTGGTTTTTTCTGATGATCATATGTTGTGTTGATAGGCTTTAAATCGATTGTACAAGTGAAGAGTTATAAGAGAACTTGTTTATCATCTCATTCAATGCTAGTACCTTTTAAATGCAAATTTATGAATTATGTTTGATTCGAGACTAATACCTTCTCTTTATAGCAATTGTAATAAAGTTAATTTGGTTAACAAGATTTAAAATGCCTACTGGTTCTAAAGTCGAAAGTTCGCCATCAGATTTGTGTAACGAGGGAGTGTTTTAATTGGGAATTGTTGATTTATCTTATATTTTTATTCACATTACTAGTTTTGTGTGGGTATCTGAAGTTTATATCTTTGCAATCTTCATAGCAATTGATCCCAATTTCTCCATTTAAAGGTCAACCCTAAACTTCAGAAACTGTAGGTCTTGGTCTCTCTTATTCCCCCCCCCCCCCCCTACACATAAAGTTAAATGCACACGATGCATGCGCCATATTCAACTTCTACAAGCTCACTTTAAGCTACAACAAGGGGATTTTGTTGAACTTCATTTTATCACTGAGCCAAGCATAATATGGTGAAAAGAGGGTAGGGAGGCTCAGCTTTAGACGAGTTGTAGAAAACAGAAACATAGTTAATTTCAAAGTACTATAAACAAAAAGTTCTACAAAAAGGGTATGACACCACCCTCTCGAGCGCCCCCACCATGTTGTACCATGGCTATCATGGAGGAGGTAAATTGCATGTCCCTGGGGCACGTGGGTGGTGCCTGGAGTCGGACCCAAGACCTCCCACTCATTCTGCAAGGATATCCACCTCCTTACCCCCTATGCTAAAGTTGCCGGGACTATAATATGAAGAGTTTCATAAAATTGATGGTCTCAAAGTTATTGTATATTTCGTGTGTTGAAAAGAGGTGCCGAGGCAATACATAAATACAGGAGGAAAGGAAAACAAAAGGAAGCTAGCCTAATTTAGAGGCAAGAAATACGGTGGTCAAACAATATGAATGGGAAACAAATCGGGATATATGGTCAATATAGAATTCCAATACTCCCCCTCAAGTTGGAGTGTGGAGATCTTTAGTGCCCAACTTGTCAAGTAGAAATCTTAGATGTTGAGTCCCTAATCCTTTCGTTAGAAGATCGGCGATCTGCATGGAGGTGGCAATTTGAAGTGGTTCAACTTCTTGTGACTCGACCCTTTCCCAGACGAAATATCAGTCCATCTCTACATGTTTGGTTCGTTCTTGAAAAACTGGGTTATTTGCAATGTGACTAGCTGCCTCGTTGTCACAAAACAAGGGGGTCGGTTTTGTGGAGAAGATGTCCAGCTCCGTTAGGAGCCATCTAACCCGAAGGACTTCACTAACGGTGGATGCCATGGATCGATATTTAGCTTCAGCGGAGGAGCGGGATACAACCGCTTGTTTCTTGGTCTTCCAAGAGATAGGTGCCCCGCCTAGAAGAAGTAAGTATCATGTTCGAGATTTTCTGGTGTAAGGGCACCCCAGCCGGTCAGAGTCACAGTACGCAGTAAGAGTACAACCTCCTTCACGAGGGAAAAGAATGCCTTGCCCCGGTGTGCCCTTCAGATAAGAACTCTGTGAACTGCGTTCATGTGAGGTTGTCTTGGATCTGCAACGAACTGACTCAAAACAATAACTGAGTAAGTGATATCCGGTCTTGTGGCTTGCAAATACAACAACCTCCCAACTATTCGACGGTACTGCCCAACATCTACTTTTGGTTCATTCTCGGTCTAGCTTGAGATTCTGCTCGATATGAAAGGGGCTTGGCTTACAACCTTGAAAACCGCGATCTTTTAGAATGTCAAGGATGTACTTTCTTTGACTCAGAACCAACCCCTTCGAGGTCCAGGCTGCTTCAATCCCAAGAAAATACTTGAGATTGCCCAGGTCCTTTATACTAAATCTTTTATCGAGTTCATCCTTTGTTTCTTGCATTCTTCCCGTGTCGTTCCCTACCATGACGACATCATCGACATAAATAAGGGCTGCCACGAAAACCTTTTGTTGTTTGTAGATGAAAAGAGAATGGTCGGCCTTAGATTGTTTGAAGCCGAGGTCGAGTAGGGCATTGGTGAATATTTTTATACCAATTGCGAGACGTTTGCTTCAAACCGTACAAGGATTTTCTTAGCCTACAAACTCTTGTCTCTCCTTCTTTAGCAAAGCCTTAAAAGGACCTTCATATATACTTCTTCATTTAGATCCCCGTGTAGAAACGCGTTGTTGACATCAAGTTGGTGGATGGCCCAATTTTTCTTGACTAGCTTTGCTACCGGGGCAAAAGTATCATGGTAGTCTACTTCTAATTGTGTAAACCCCTTTGCAACTAACTGTGTCTTGTATCTTTCTCCATTGGGTTTGTATTTCACTTTGTATACCCATTTCGAGTCAATAGCGTGTTTTCCTTCAGGAAGTTCTTCTAGAGTCCATGTGCCATTCTTTTCTAGAGCGCGTATTTCATTTTTCATGGCTTCCTTCCATTTATCACTTTTGACAGCATGATAGAAATGTTGTGGCTCATTGTTGGAGTCAATGGTAGCTAAGAAGGCTTTATGAGTCTCAGAAAAATGTTTGTATGAAACAAAGTTAGTTAAGGGATGTACCGTGGAGGATCCTTGATTTGGGGAGGCTTGTGTGTGGTCAACCGATGGGGGAAGTTGGACAAAATAATCGTTGAAACGTTTCGGTTGTTGCTTGTATTGATCTATGTTTAACTCAGCCTGCTCGCTTGGGCTTTCTGTTTGGGCTTCATCGTCTTCACTTTGATTTAAGTCAGCCTCCTCCCATGGGCTTTCAGTTCCAGTCGAGACCCCGACATCATTGGCTTCTTCATTGTTTGTGGTTTCACAATAGATGGGCCCATCATGAGGTTCAAATAATTCGGTTGTTTCAAGGGACAATTGCTCAAAAGGGAATTTATCTTCATGAAACCTAACGTCCCTGGAGACCATTATTTTCTTATTTTCAAGATCAAGAATTTTATATCCTTTAGTCCCTGACGGGTAACCTAAAAGTACCCCGGGCCTCCCTCTCTCTTCAAACTTGTCTCCTCTGGTCTCAGTGCTTCTATAGTAGACTAAGCACCCGAACACCTTCATGAAACCATTATCCAGTTTTCGTTCAAAGATGATTTCGTATGGTGTTTTGTTTCCAATTACCCTTGAAGGTAATTGGTTAATGATGTAAGAGGCCGTTAGAACACACTCGCCCCAAAATCTTTTGGGCAAGTTGGCTTCAAATCTAATTGCTCGGGCGGTTTCGAGTAAGTGTCTATGTTTACGTTCCACAACCCCATTTTGTTGTGGGGTGTGGGGACATGTCGTCTTGAGCAAAATCCCTTCCTCGTAGTAAAATTTTAACATTTCATTTGACGTGAACTTGCCACCATTGTCGCACCTAATTCTTTTAACGCATTTTCCAAATTGGGTTTTTATCATTTTATGGATATTAACTAAACACTTGCTTCATGTTTGTGTTTTAGCAAAAACACCCATACGGCTCTACTAAAATCATCAATAATCGTTAAGAAATATCTTGCACCTGAAAACGAAGGTGTGCGATATTTTCTCCAAACATCACAGTGTAATAATTCAAAGCAACTAACTGTTTTAATCTCACTGTTTTCAAAAGAAAGTCTGGTGTGCTTTGCTATAGAACACGAGTCACATGACTTATTGAAAGAAATATTACTAAGAAAATCAATACGGGTAAGCTTTTCACTAGAAGCATGGCCCAACCTTTTATGCCAAGCATCAACAGTCGTCATCAACGCTTTCTTCTCGGCTCCAAACATCCCCATTCGGTAGAGACCCTTTCTGCACTCACCCGCACCAATTAAGTCCCTTGTGTGGAGTTTCTGCATGACACAAAAATTGGGAAAAAAAGGTTATGGCCGATTGAAGATCTTGGCATAAGCGACTGATAGATAAGAGATTGCACGTGAATTTAGGAATGTGCAGAACACGTCTTATCTCCCCCCCCCCCCCCACGTAAGGTACATTCTCCCTTTCCCCCTCAACAGGTATAACATCTCCGTTCGGAATGACGACATGAGTTTCGTTCCTGTTTTCAAGGATGTTTGTGCTGTGTGTAATATGTTCCGTAGAGCCCAAATCAATTATCCACTCAGCATCACAACTAGTTTTATCTGTCATGCATGCCATCAGAGTCTTGTTGTCTTTGCTTGTGTTCCCACTTTCTGCAAAATGTTTCAAGAAAGATTCATATTGTTCGTTAGTCAAACCTGGAATAGGACTTGAACCAGTATCAATGCAAGCTTCCTTGGGCTTGGTTTCATTACATTTCTTGTTTCTGTAACGCCCCAACCCACACAT